GCTGAATACAATTTACTGTACAGTTTCTGTTTAAGTCCTCCTGCGTGTATACAGTTAAACATTTTAATTCAATTTCAATTTTTTCAGTATTTGATTGGCAGCACAATAGGCTGCTGAATTACATAAAATGTACAATTTAAAAATTCTTACACAAAAAAACTAAAACACATCATACCACTTATTTCTATCTTTTACGATATCTCTTAAAATAATTAAATATGTTAATAAAACATTATATATAACTTATATTGTTTCTAAATGAAAACAACAGGTTGGTTTGATGCCTATGTCTATCAAATAGGTTAATTTAATTCGCTTTAACAGCAAACGAATTCTATGTTTTAACGTTTTCAAAACGAAATTTGACTGTGAAGCCTAGACAGTTCTGTAGTAAGGTTAGTACAGTAGTGATACACCATCTTGGAAACTTCAGGAATTGAACCAGTGCCCTGTAATACAGCTCTATACTTGTTTAAATCCATTGCCTCAATACAACACACCATTATTCTTGTAATCCGTAATTCTACACTACGACATTTTAATCATCAACATATTTTATCCAACTATTATTTTTTAAGGTATTTAAAAAAATTATTTTATCTTCAGTTTATCTTTTTTCTATATTATTATTTATATATAGCGTAAAACTATTTTATCTTTAGTTTTCGGTTTTAAATATCATATTTTTATAGGCTTCACTTCTTTCTGCCTTATTGATGTTAACTAACTCACTAAATGATATGATTTTATATAGGTCTAGTAAATCTAAAACTATAATCATGTCACCGGGCCTACTGTAATTACTGAAACAACTAAATTTTTTCTAGGGCTCAGAAAAGAAATTCTGAGGCCTAGACCCTTTGGCTAATAACGTTGAAAGCATGAAAGAAAAAAAGAAATTGGGCGTATAATGAAATAGCCAACTTACCTTTGCTTCTTCTGCACACTAGCGTATTTACACAGCAAACGAAGTAGAAGGTATCAAAACTATAGACAACTAGAAATGGAATAACTTATTTATTCAAGACAACCTTTGTAATGTACGACATTATTTCAACAGCTGAGTACTTGCTCATAAAACAACTTATTTTTAATTGATTACATAGTGGGTTAACATGAGCAATGTTGAAAGGATCATTTAAATTTGACTTGAGAATAAAAGTACAACTTGGTCAGTAAAATCCGTTAGTGTCATATAGCTACTTCATATATTTTATGACTATAGGCCTTGTATAGCATAGTAAATCCTGGGCATAGGCCTAGTATATTAAGGTGAGAATGGTATCATGCGTCTTGAGAATCAAAACGCATTTGCCAATCACAGCGTTGTGAACCAAGTTGTACTGTATTATGTTTATCTAATACGTATCACCCACATTTCAGTGACTATAACATCTAGTGAAATGCAATATGCCGGGATATTACTACAGGCCCGTACTGTTGACACACGGGTAATAGTTGGTAGATGGACTCCGTCCGTCTACTCTGGTATACGCTTAAAGTCTTGTTCAGCTGAAGCCGATTCGCTGACGCATTCCAACGAATTACCAAAACCCGTTACAACGCGTTACACATGGAACGCACCAACACTTCCATTTGGGGACATCGAATTTGTGTAAGTCTCATATGTATACACGTGTTCATTGTAGGGCCTATAGATTTCGTAATTTTTTAAAAGTATTGTATCAGATATAGTTTGATGGATTAATAAATGTATTTGATTATTTAAATCCATCATCTCAACACAAAAACGGTTGTGGATGAATAGGCCTACCGTAATGTCCCTACAACATTTTTGAGATCGAGAGAAATCAAGAGAGTATTGTTCTTCCCTCTAATGCGCTTCACAGCAAGTAATAATAGGCCTATACACTATCGTAACTTCAAACAACGTGCTTTAAGATCCAAATTATAATCAACTATATAATATATATAATTTATTTGTTCATTCATTTTGTAGAGCTACACTGGCTGTAGATTATGAAACATTTTGGACGGTTGTTACATCTGAGGTGGTCCGCTTAGACGAGACTGTCATAACCCAATGTAAGCTAAGTAAATTAGAAACTTCTATCACAATACTTTATTTTCGAAATAAAAAAAAACAAACAAAAATTTAACCTTCTTATGAAATAGCCACAAAGTTTTTCTTTTACAATTAAACTAAAAACAATTTACATGTGTTTTTATATTTACGGTTTACAATTATTATTATTATTTTGTTTAATAATACAAAAACATTAATCAACAACATTTGATAAAATTGGTGACTGATAATGAGGTCCAGGTATACTGAAATAAATTCTCTGATTGGAGAGAACTGAAACCGAAAACCTAAAAAAACTTCAATAAAACTAAATAAATTATTAGCAAATGAAGTAAACACTAAAACACCAACATATATCCACAAACTGCTCTATTGACAGTCGGTGTGGAATAATTCAATTTGAATGAATCACATACTTATTTAACTTACTTAAGTGTTAATTCACAAGATCACTTGGGCAATCATGCTCTCGGTCGTGAAGGGGATCATATTTCTTTTAACTTAATTCAAAAAACTTCACCCAGTCACAATTTCTCGCACGAAAAGTCACTGTGCAAAACGTTTGAAGAATGAATGGTATTTATTGTACGGATTGTGGATCGAAAAAAGGAACAACAAATTATAATTACATAATTCTGTTTTTTGTTTCGTAATGAGACTCGATAGCGTCCACAAAACAACGGATGTTTACCTCCATGATTCAATCATCTATGGTTTGAAAATGGCTGTTGAGCCTATGGAGCGCCTAGCTTAATTTTGTTCAGACGCTGGGGAACTGTTTTAAGCTTGTTTCATACCTATTACACGCATTTTGACGCAAACGCAAACAAATTTACTTCCACAACAGCCACTACGGACGACTTCCAGTGTGAACCACAATTAGGCGCTAACATGAACGTACGCAAAAGTCTGCTGCCCAACGTACACGAGCAAACATTTTTAGGGGGACAAAAATGGAACAGCAATGGTTTTGTTTCGTCCTTGTGTGATCAAAGCTTTATGGAATCGTGCGATTTTAACGTGTGTGCGTGGGAACTTCGCACACTTCAACAGGGCGGGAATGTAATACATAACTCTGTAAGGTGTAGTGTACTTTCGATTTATTTTTAGATACCCGTTTGTGCGAAGAGCTTCAACCTTGTATGAACGGTGCCTCCTGCTTTAACTCGCACACCTCGGCCACGTACTACTGTCAGTGTCCGAACGGATTTGCAGGCACAAACTGTGAAACATTTGGTGAGGAATCTTTACTTCCCTCAGTGCTCAATTCCATTCTATCGTTAGCATGGACCATCAGTGTATATGCCTGGTATATTTAACCTTAAGATTTATTTATATAGAAAATAAACTATTCAAATGGTGTTCAATATACTTAACATACGGCTCAGTGGTCAAGTTGTAACGTGACCCCCAACAATCAATATCAACAATTCAAGGCACTTGCTAGTTTCATATCACCGGATATGGCGTCACTACAGTAATTCAATTAACCAATTAATCAATCAATAAATCAATCAATGCTATAAAGGGAAAAAACAACCACATGTCACTGTAGCATTGTATCGTTTTCCCAGAAATCTTACTCATGTGGTCTTACATAAAAATATAGTAAATCGCATGAAAGTAATTTTGGAATGGAGATACACCTCCACTAGTGTTAATTAAAGATAATAAATATTTGAGAAAAACGTATGTCCCCATAAGGACTCGAAACCAAGAACTTCCGATTACCGTTCGGATACTACCAACTGAGCTATGAGGCCAAGGGGTACAAACCTTTTGATTTTCCCATTAGGACACGTTTTTGTGTCAAGGGATTGCGTAATACTCATAATACACAATGAGTAAAAGTAAATCAAAAAAGTAAAGAAGTAAATTTAGTATGGAGATAAACTTCCACAATATGATAACAAATAGGCCCTATTTGAGAAAAACGTGTGTCCCCATAGGGAGTCGAACCCAAGAAATTCCGATTACCATTCGGATACTCTACCAACTGAGCTGATAAGTTAATAGGTTTTATATAAGCTACAGTAGAAAATTACATAATACTTTTTTTTAATGATTGAACCATGATTCTCGTTTACTTAATAGAATACTGCAGTGATGAGGTTTGCCGCAACGGTGGTACCTGTTTTTCAAGTGCACTAAATAGTCAAAAGTTCATCTGCGTTTGTGCTCCTGGCTTCGCAGGGGAAACGTGCGAGATATTCAGTAAATGGGTGTTTGACATTTGTATAGGTTACATTTGTATAGGTTACATTTTAGAAATGGTCTTTAGAAGCCATAATCTATAGAATTGGGATTACATTCTTTAGACTAACAACATATAAGTAGAGAACATAACTGTGACAACTAAACTAAAAGGGAGACTGTACATTATGTGTTTATAGAAAATACAATCAATTGATCGAGAAGGTACAGATATTTTAATTTCAAATGCCTTTTTTCAACAGCGGGTTGTGCGGCAGACCCTTGTTTGAACGGGGGATCATGTAACACTATTGATTCAATGGATACATTCCTTTGCCTCTGTGACAACCCATTCGTTGGTGACAGATGTCAATATTTTTGTAAGTTTTCGAATGTTATGCTTCGTAACTTTAAGCGATTTGATTGGTTATCCTTTTCAACAACACTTTCAGAAAACATTATGCGGGATAAATAACTTTTAATTTTCATTCCACAGTGTCATGTGATAACGATCCGTGTGGCAATGGAGGCACGTGTTATTCGTCTGATAGTGGGATTGGTTACTTTTGTTCATGTGCACTGGGATACAAAGGAGCACACTGTGAAACGACCGTTGGTAGGTCAGGACTTTCTCTAACATTTGCCACATCGTGATCTAGAATACCACTATGCTTTCCAGTTATAATTTTAACTGAATATCCAAAGAATTGTTCAGTAAATATTTTGACCTTCATTACAGAAACCTGTTCGGGCGATCCATGTTTGAACGAGGGTACATGTTACAACAAGCGAGGTGGGAACGGTTACCTATGTAAATGCACCTCAGTTTTCACTGGGGACAACTGCCAGTTACAAAGTGAGTTATATATTTAAACTGTTCGCATAAGGTTGATACTAACGTTAATCATCTGCCTACTGATCCTGAACATAAACAAAACTTTGCTCTGGATCACAACCAATCGGGGTGGAGGGAGAGCGTACGTTTACATTTCCATTATGAAATCGAGATTACGTTAAGTATTATTCGGCTCACGATATTAACTTTAATAATATGTCAACAATAATAACCAACAATATAATATAATATAGCAACATTTAAAGTGATCTAAAGAAATACTACAAACTGTTTTGTTGAATAAACATAGGAGCCTTATTAGTCAAATAATCAATTAAAAAAAACAAATAGAACGGAGTTGCAACTTTTTTTTACTAACGAATTTATTTGAGGGACGAGCATTTGCTAGCGCTCAAGCTGAACACCCCTCTGTACTTGACTTATATTTACTATTTATCTCAAAACCTGCCACATGATGATGATGATAATAATAATAATAGGCCTAATAATAATAATAATAGGCCTAATAATAATAATTTTAATAATAATAATAATAAGAGCACTCAGTAGACAGCATATAAAAGGTGAAGCTAACCTGATCAACATTTTGTTTCAGTGTCTTTGATAATATAAAAAATAGATCGAAATGTTGAATCTCAAAACGTCGGTGTTTCCCGTCTTTTTGTTTTATAGGCCTATCATTTATTTAAATATTTGTATTTTAGAAACTAATCCATGTATATCGTCACCTTGTTTCAATGCCGGAACGTGTTACAGATCGTCGGACACGGATGGATTCTACTGTAGATGTCAACCGGGTTTTAACGGCATGCTGTGCGAGAATAATGGTAATTTGCGCTTGCGTACTGCCATCTGCAACTCACAATATTTAACACGGCTTTTCAAAAAAGGAATACCATACCATAGGCTTTTTCTGATAGGCATATATAGTTTTTTATTTCATTTCATGCTTACGAATGTAAAACTTTCAACGAAATCACGCTAAGTAAAATAAGTTTGAGGATTTGCGAGAGGATGAAAGAAAAACATTAAACTGAATAAAGAATACTAGAAATCTTGAAATACTTGAAGAAAAATAACAGTCGACCGAATTGTAACCTGTAATTTTGCAAGTTATTTATTGCTACAGAAATAATGAATACAACATTGCACAATGACATCATTAGAGAAAAAACTCTCAAAACATATTAAAAGTTGCGAACTCCGATGGTCTACAGTCCACATAATTTAATCGTTCTACTAAAGGAGAAATTGTATAGTACTAACCGTCTCTCTTTCGACAGATCCTTGCAGTTCAAACCCGTGTAATGGAGGTGCAACGTGTTTTACATCTCAGTATGGCAACGATATCTACTGTAAATGTCAAGTTGGAACATCTGGTCCAAGATGTCTTCAGTATGGTGAGCAAAACAGAACATTTGAAGTACAGTAATAATTATGATCCTGCAGAACATTCTGTGGATGATCAAAGTTCAAAAAAATAATTAAGACAATCAATTTATAGTTGCGTTACTTCAACTTTACGCTAATTATCTTCCAATCATTCATTGATGTTAAGTTCAATATCGTGCAATTCACAATGATGTTATTTTAATACAAAATATCCCAATATTTGTATTCTTCCGCATCTCCTAATACAACGTTCGTGCTTATTTAGTCATCCTTTAAGAGGATGAAACCCGGTCAGTGAGACCACTGCTTTCCATTGTATTGGTTATGTTTTTACTATCGGAAACATAATTTCCATTTTAATTACTGAAGAAGCAAGATATAAACTTCCATGAATATTTAATCATAATTTTTAATTTACAATTAACAATAAAAAAAGAAAATTCATCTTCTCAGATGCGTGTATGTCAATTCCGTGTTCGAGAGGAGGAACTTGTTTGAAACCTTTAAATGGAATCGGTTACCAATGCCTCTGTCCTAAAGGATATAAAGGACTTAACTGTGAAGTTTATGGTAACATTCTACCTTGTTCTATCTAGTTATCCCGAATGTATCCTTTCTCCTGATTTTAAGGCTTTAGAAACGAAATACGTTATTCTGCGCTACGAATTCACCACTGAACAATACTTGTGGAATTTGGCACAATGTAAATCCCAGCAATTGATTAAAAATATATATTATTTTTTCTTTGATTAGGCCTATAACAATTAGAAGCCATTTCTATGGACCCATCTCAAATTTGCTCCTCCACTGCCAAACAACCCCTCGATTTATATTTTTTTTGTTCTACCATTTTAAAAAATATTCCAATGTATTAATCTCTCCTTGTTTAAGCGGATTTTGGCTCACGATGGCTTTCATAGCAAATTAAAAGAAATTGTATTGAATAGTAACTGTGTTTGGTTTACATTGTTATAATTCTCTGGGATGATGTCTGTTTCTAAAGACTTATTTGGATTTTTGAATGGGGAAGTGTGGAGCAGATGGTAGGCCTGACGTAGGCGCTTATCGTAGCTACGAGAATAGCATAGAGTCATATTCTACTTTTCTCTTTTTTATTAGAGCCATGTGATCCTAACCCATGTATGTTTAATGGACTTTGCTACCGGTCAAATGCTGGAAACGACTTCTACTGCCAATGTCATACCTCTTACAAGGGCAAATACTGTGAAAATAGAGGTAAACCTTTGTTTTAATTAATGTTCATTACCCCATGCCTTATACTGTAAATTCTTATTCTCCCGCCTTTCACTTGGCTAATCTTCATTCGTCACCTCTTCCCATATTCTGTAAATCTTCATTCATCCCTCTTCATGATTCAGTTATTCTTTCATTTGATGTAAAGTGCATAGATGCACTGCGCAATATAAACGTGAATTAGTACAGTACTGTATTTATTCTTTACCCCACCTTAATTCAGCTATTTTTTTTTACTTACTATTCTCTTATTCATTTAATCTTCATTTTATCTCATTACTGATTCAGATAGTAATCTTCATTCTTTCCCTTTTCTCATTCTGGATCCACCAAAGAAAATAAACGTGTACGACTGAAGGAGTCCCTGCTCTACTATGTTATATGTATAACAGCTTAACAATATTCGATTTTAGACCCATGCTACAGCAACCCGTGTAATGGTGGGGCAACCTGTCAGGCAGATGAAAATGGGGAGACCTTTGAATGCAGTTGTCCCTGGGGTTGGCTTGGTGAAACGTGCACTAAGCAAGGTAAGTTTTCACCTATAAACATTTCAAACACTTGACAGATACACATACAATCTGCTACACCCTTCACTAAATCGGCCACTGTTCATTTTTCTAAATTCGAAAAATCATTATTCTTCACCCCTCCCCCACCACTGACATACCAAATCTATTGTATTATCATCTATATATATATATGTATATATATATATATATATATATATATATATACACACACAATGTGGTTCATCTCTCTAATCTTTCAGCTTTCCCATCAAGTGCGTTTCAATGAAAAGCTTGGTTTCCATACAGTTGCCCATACTATCGGTTACAATTGCTGATAACTGTCGGTAAGGTTGAACCTGGTTGAACTTTGCCGATTACGTTGCAGACAAACCGGGGTACCTGCCTTCCTGACTGTGTAGGAGCAGTTAGCAATGCACCCTGATTCGTCTGCAATGTAATCGGTAAGGTTGAACCAGGTTCAACCTTCTCTACAGCTGTCGGCGACTGTCATGGTAGGGTGAGCGATTGTTTTGAAACCAAGCTTTACAAGATAGGTGTTTCAAATCAGATTTGCTCCATTACCCATTTAATTACTGATTAATAGATTAATTAACTGTTTTAACTTAATAGTTTTGAATTGTGCGCAGTTTCCATGTCGCAATGGTGGAACATGTTATCAGGCAAGTTCTGGAACTGGTTTCCTCTGTCAATGTACAAATGTTTTTTCTGGAGTAGTGTGCTCAGAATCAGGTACAGTATATATATTTAAAAAAAAATGTTCTTTCATACTAATAACCAATCAAAAACTGCGTAATACAAAAATCTAGCAACAGCAATATCGACTCAAATGTATTATCATATATCATATTATTTATCATCCACATTTATATTATTATCAATGAGTCAAGTGACCGAGCACTTGATACAAGGATGCCATAACAGCCTTTCGTTATAATTATTCATTATGATTATGATGTGCAGTTCACAAGGAACCAAATAGGCCTATCAATATGGTGAGGGGCAGAAAGTTTGTGCCCGCCATCACCTCTGCATCCGCTTTACACCATTTTCGCTAAATTTGAAATGAACATTTTTGAGAACATAGGAACTCGAACTGGGGGCATCCAGAGGCCCAGGTATTTCGTTCTACATAGTTAACAGTGTTTATTTTTGGTGTGACCGGTGAACGACCTTTATTGTGGTGAGTTAGCTTAGCAAAAAAAAGAAAATTGGTTGTAGAAGTACTCAAAAGAAGATATGTATCTTCGAAAAAAGAAATTTGTGAAGAACAAGGAGCTCTGTCTGGATTTCCCCCACTGAAAATTTGCAAGATTTGGTGGTGCTGTTTCAAAATAGACCTGCTAAAAAGGTGTATAAGTGTGAGGGAACATGTCCTCTTTGGAGTATGTGAAGTACATACCTCAGCCTCTCATCCAACTGTATCCATGCTTGTATTTGTGGGAGACATGTTTCTCTCATCATTCCTCCATGCTCTCACCAATCTCCCTACCCCTCCACCCCACCCCAACCACTCTGTGTCGATGCTTGTATAATTCAGTGTTTCCTTCATACCTCACAGCATGTGATTCAAGTCCATGCCAGAATGGAGGGAGTTGTTTATTGACCCACATCAACGGAGGCCATGTATGCATTTGTCCTGATGGTTTTATGGGTCCAACCTGCAATGAAAGAGGTATAAATTCATTTTTTCTTTCAAAAACAATAGAAGATATCAAGGAGCATACAGAAGAAATGTTTTTAATGAATTTCTCATTAATACTTTAAGCTAAAATTATCTAATTGCGAGACATAAACTAATGTTTTTTATTTCAGCAGTTGATAATGTGACAAACCCAGTAGATAATGAAGTAACAACCACAATTGCTCCTGGTTCAACCCGAGCAACCATTGCACCAACAACCGCAACCATTCCTACTACTAATGTTCCAACAACCATTCCACTAACAACCACAAAACCAAAAATAAAACCAACAACTACACAACAACCAGCAACTCCACAACAACCAACAGCAATGGCACCAACAACTACAAAACCAGCAACCATTGCACCAACAACTGCAACATTAACAACTGCACCAATAACTACTACTAAAATGGCACCAACAACCACGATTGTACCAACAACTACACAAAAACCAATGACCACCAACCCAAGGACCACAGGACAAAACATCACACCACAACCAACACCAACAACCAGTTGTCCCAATGATTACTGCAGCAATGGTGGTACATGCAGTCTCACTGCTGGAACTCTCACTTGCACATGTCAACAAGGCTACATAGGCAGCACGTGTGAAAACGGTAAGCTAAGACCAATTTTGGAATAAGGTGGTGGTTTCCTTGGTTCATATTGATTGTTGGTTAGCAACAGTGGTGGTAAATCATGGTTTCCTTGGTTCAGATTGATAGTTGGTTAGCAAATGGTGGTGGAAACCATGGTTTACCTGGTTCAGATTGATAGTTGGTTAGCAAATGGTGGTGGTAAATCATGGATCCTATGGTTCAGATTGATTGTTGGTTGGTATATAATGGTGGTAAATCATGGTTCCATTGCTTCAGATTGTAAATAATATTTTATTGTATTCCATCCTGTTATTGTCATGCTACCCACTGTTTGGATGTGTAGTGAAATAAAAAATATAATAAAGATCAATTGTTGTTAAGCAAATGATGGTAGTAAATCATGGTTCTATTTGTTCACATTGATTGTTGGTTAGTAACTGGTGGTGGTAAATCATGGTTTGGTTGGTTCAGATTCATTGTTGGTTAGCAAATGATGATGATAAATCATGGTTTTCTGGGTTCAGACTGATTTTTGGTTAATTTGGTTGCATTAAATATTAAATTAACTTATACATAATGTAGATTCTGTTTTACCTCATCCAATAGTATTAACTAAATCCAAATAAAGTTTTAAAAAAAAAATAGTACATAGATGAATGGATGAAGGATGTAATATAAAATGTGCTTTCTAAATGCTCATTAATGAATGTGACATTATCAACTAATTTAATGTGCAACCAGAACATAAAAAATAAATTCCACATACCCATTATACTGTATAATCTGACAATTTACTGTATGTACACATGCTAAAGGTTATTGCTAATTATGTATATTATTGTGTATGGTAATGATATTTATGTAATATATTTTTTAATCACTGAGGAAAAAATCTTTCATTGATAGTAGAACATGAATTAACCAATAACTGACTGAATTACTGAATCTTGATTTAAAGAGAACTAAAATATAAAATTATTTATCATACTTTATTGATTTGTTTGTTGTTTGATTGATTGTTTAATTTCCAGTGGATTTCTGTATTTCAAATCCTTGCAAGAATGGTGGAATTTGTGTGACCTTTGAGAATGAGTACAGGTGCTCATGCACCAACTCATTCTCAGGCCCTGACTGTAATTCACAAGGTAAGAATATTGCCCATCCCCTGCTCAGATCAAACAATAAGGATAATGGAAAAAATGATGTAGTAGTCAACTGATAATAATGTTGATGCTTGTGATGAAAATGATAATCAGTGCAATGATGTTTATGATGCAGTGGCAGATTCAAGGGGGGGGGGGGGGGAGCTGACCCGGGACCGCCCGGACCCCCCTACCCCGAAAAAAAAAAAGAAAAAAGGAAAACATTAGTAAAATTTAGGTCTGAAAGTGACATCTCCAGCCATCTAGATGTGACATAATCATAAATTTTCTTACCTCAGCCCCAACCATGATGGGGCTGAGACTCTCATACCTCCCTAGGTCTTCTTGATTTTGAATTCCTGGATCCGCCACTGTGATTACATAATAATGGTAGTAGATTATGATTGTGATTTTGACAATGATGGTGAAAATAGTAGTGTTGATGATTCTGGATAATGATAATGATGGTTGGAAATGTAATGGTGTTAATGGTGGCAATGAGGAGGAGGATAATGATGGTGATAGTGATGATAATGACTATGATGACAAAGATAATGGTGATATTGGTGACTATGGAGATGATGTTATGATGAAGATAGTTATACTGATAATGATGATGATAATGAGTGTTGTAATGGTAAATATGACAATAATGATGGTGGTGGTTGTGATAATAATTAATGGTTGTGTTGACAATGATGATCATAAGGCCAAAAAAAAAAATATGTTGTGTTGCTCCGCGGCCGACCGAAATTTTCCAAAAAAAATTGGGTCACATTTTTTTTTTTTTAAATTTTGTTCAAAGGTCTGAAGGAAATTTGCTGATACACATATAAATGAATAAAATAATGTTTCTGATCCACTAACAGGATGCAGTAGAAATATAGCACACACATTCACAGTAATTCCTTTGGGTGTGGAAAATATGTCCTCACGTACACATCTCAAAAACCAGAAGAAACGAATAATCCCTTCCAACATCCAACAGGGGCTAGATGGAACTCGGCGAAATGCGTCCATATACGCAGAAATAGCCAAAAAATTAAAGGAATGTGGCTATGATTTCACAAGCAAGCAGATTATAAACAAATGCAAGAATCTACGGAGACAATACACTGCAGCAATTAAAGGACGCTAACAACAAGTCCGGAAACCCCCCTTCAGAGTGGGTGTACTTCGAGGAGATGGATAAGATTTTTGGGGAACGTTAAATAAAATAACCAGTGAAGTAAAAACAAAATTGGATTACGAGAAAAAATAATATCGGAATATAAAAGACAAAATGATGGTGATAGTGATGATAATGACTATGATGACAAAGATAATGGTGATATTGGTGACTATGGAGATGATGTTATGATGAAGATAGTTATACTGATAATGATGATGATAATGAGTGTTGTAATGGTAAATATGACAATAATGATGGTGGTGGTTGTGATAATAATTAATGGTTGTGTTGACAATGATGATCATAAGGCCAAAAAAAAAAATATGTTGTGTTGCTCCGCGGCCGACCGAAATTTTCAAAAAAAAATTGGGTCACATTTTTTTTTTTTTTTTAAATTTTGTTCAAAGGTCTGAAGGAAATTTGCTGATACACATATAAATGAATAAAATAATTTTTCTGATCCACTAACAGGATGCAGTAGAAATATAGCACGCACATTCACAGTAATTCCTATGGGTGTGGAAAATATGTCCTCACGTACACGTCTCAAAAACCAGAAGAAACAAATAATCCCTTCCAACGTAAAAATGTTTCTGTGTTATGCAAATTAGTGCTAACAACTGCTGTTAGCGACCGTTAGCGATGCATGAAATAAAGTCACCACAGGTCTTAATTTCGCTCAAGTACAAATTTGAGAAATACCACTTCCGAAATTAACATTTAGAACATAAAATCTAAAACAGAGATCTCGATTTTTTCCCTTTAAGGGCAACACAACATTTTTTTTTTTTTGGTCTAATGACAATTATTATGGTTATTTGCAATTGACGTTTATAAAAAAAAGCCACCATAATTATGATTACAATCCCAATAGTTTTAAAACTATGGACAGTAATTTAAAAAAATAAAGATTCTTTATCTTGATAAATATTATATTATTCATGAATAATCTACAGATAATGCACAGCTAACATCGAGCAACACTATGGAAGACCTCCCTCTAGAACTCTGGTGGATTGCTCTCATCACCCTCATAGTGATTCTTCTAATCATCTTCACATTTATTGTGGTGTGTGCTTATTGTAACAACAACAGGAGAAAAAGAGAGGAAGTCAGCCACAAACCACATAGCATTGATGGCACCATCTAAACAATCATGTCTAGGAACAACCTAACAGAATTTTTTAACAGAATCTAACCAATCATATCTCTGTTATGTTCATGTAAATAATGCTCTAACAGAATCCAACCAATTGTATTTCTAGTAGAATCTAACACAAGCCATGTTTCTAAGCATCCAATCATTTTTCTATAGGGAACCTAAAAAATCATGTTTTCATTTAGATCATCACAAATAGCTATAAATTTAATCTAACCAACCATTCACATATCAGAGGTGAATTCCAGGTGGCAAAAAGGCTGCACTGCTCTCCACCTAATCAAGCATGAAATCATGAGTTCTTTAGATGCCACAATAGGTATAAGAACACTTCAAAACACTTTCCCTTTGTACTATAAATCCTTGATTGGTAAAGTTACACTACCCAGAGAAACAAAAACAGTTCTTTTTACATACTACACTAAAAAAAAAACTTCTCCAAATAAATGTGTAAAACACTGAAGAAAATTTAGACTTGCCATCCCAAATCCAGCATCATCATCATCATCATTTATTTAAGTCAGTTTTCTTCCTGCTTCTAAGGGGTTACTGACTGTCACTCCTTCCATGCAGCTACACCATCTCTCCACTTCTTCCTGTCTTGTGCATCATACTCCTCCAAACCAATTTTTGCACTTTCTTTCTTCACCATATCTTTCCACGTCACCTTTGGCCGCCCCCTTACTCTTCTACCTTCAACTTCTAGATGCCAGGCTCTCTTTACTCTTTTTTTTTTCTCTTTTTTATCGGTGACTAAAAAATGAAAATTGTATTTTTAATACATTCTTATTCTGCACATTTTAAGCTTTAAAATGATGGATCATTTTAACTAGAATTGATTTATTATCACCAAAGTTATAAGTAAAAGTATTACAGCTTCTCTGTACTAAAGTATACGATACTGCCACACTCTTATGCTAATTACTCAGTTTAACAATTGACATGTCGACAAGGACGCGAAGCCCGGCAAAAAATCACGAAAACCTTAGACAATGGCGGGTAGACTTACCGAGTTGCCAAAGACTTTCTTTGCTATCAACCTTCAGGGTAGGCGGTATGCAAATGAATCATATATTCATAGTGTTAATCTATTTCATGGAACATGCTGGGGAAATTGTTGTAAAAGCCTCTGTATTTCGCTCCCAAAGCTCCCATTCAGTCAACCTTGTTGTCAGCAAACGCCAAGTCACTTATGCGCACTGCTCATGTAAATCTGGGTATCTATAACCAAGCAGGCCTAGGCTCATGTATGTTACGCGTTTAAACCAGCTGCCTAAGGAAATTAAAATGACTGAGAAAAAGTTTTTGATCACGTGACTAAATGACGCTCGCTGATTAGTGGGTTTATCTGTCAATCAAATCTCGTTGAGATGTTAATGAGCGACAGTATGCTGGTTTTGGGATGGCATGCCTCAATTATAATTAAAATATATAAATAGTAAATTAACCAAAATATCTATCTTACCATCTTAACAGTGCTGTTCAATATAGCTTGGTGAACTTCAAAATCATTTCCAATGTGCTCTAATTTGAAAGACAAGTATACAGTTAAATTAGCCTAAGTCGACTTTGCTTAACTCGAATAATTTCTGAGTCGAACTTATTTTACATGCCAAATTGTTGTGTTTTCCAATTATTAACAATCTGTAAGTCAAATTTTATGTAAGTCGAACAATTTTTCAATGGCATTTTGGATTTGATTTAGGCAAGTTCAACTGTAATATAATAATTATTAGAATATTGCTATCATTACTGTTAATGCATTACTATCCTTTGTATAATAATTTCCACTAGTGTATGATACGCAACTATTCTAATTGCTTATTTGAATAGTGACTATCATTACTGTATATGCATCACTATATCTTACCATTACCATCATTAATGATGACTTTTTAGCTTTAAAACAATATTTTCGTTATTAAATTGTAAGTAGAGTCAAGAATTATATGTACATAAATGATATCACAGAGTATAGATTTATTATCTAAATATGTTAATTTTATTTCCCAATTAGTTTTAAAGTTAAATTTGGTTTCTTTTTTAAAATTTGAGTGATGGGTTAAACATTATGACATATGTTTCCATGTAGGACTAATTTAGTTCTGATAATTTCTAATTGAGGGAAAATATGTATCTCTATCATTAGACGTCTTTGAATCTCTTCTAAATTAAGCAACAGAGTTTACTATATTTTTTATATTTGGAAGGTAGCCTTCAAATTAGTTTTTAATAATAAGTAAATTTTAAAAAATATTTTTTTAATAAAGTTTTTATTATAAATATGTTGTCAGTTACTTCTTTAGTTTGTTTGTCTCCTTGAACCAGGCTTTGATTGAGATGCACATCAACTGGCGCTACATTGAATTTTCATCTGTTGGTCATGTTGTTGGAAATGGGATATAATGTTTGTTTGTTGTGCTGATGACATCACTGTTTTCCTCCAGTTTGTGTAGCACTTCAAGGAGGGCGTTTTCTGTGACCTTGCTGAATTTCTTGCTGTGTTTAAGCTGCTTTAATATTTGAAGATAATGACATCCTTTCATATCTAAAAAAGAAAAAAACTAAAAATAAATATAATTAAACTTTCAATATTTATTTATTTTTGTAAACTATACACTATATCATGGGTAGATTGTAGAAAGATTGTATTTTTTATCTTTTCAAAATACAAAAAATTAAACTTAAACACTTAAAATTAAATAAATTCATTAAGATGATAGTAATAAAAAATAATATAACTTAAAACAAAAGTTTACTAAATACCAGGATTTCCATAAAAACTCTATTACAAACTTAGTAAAAGGTGTTTATTTTGGCCTGGTGGTGACGCTGTGTAGGCTGAGTAGGCAAAAGATTCGCAAAGTATAGGACAAATGCGTAAGAAAATCAGAATACAGGTTACCTTTTTTTGTTGTGCCAAAAATGCGAAAGCTACATGGGTGAAATTCACATAATGGCATAGTTATATATATTAAGAATCGACATTATCTGAGAAATTAAAATTTTTCTATTTTTATTCAATTATTAAAGTCAACGGGGGAAATTGTCCAACAGAAACCCTGAATCACTATTTGGTTTTTAGGGTGGGTTACAATTAGAGTGTGGCGACACCACCAATATGAAGGGCCTCAAATGAATTTTCTGTTTACCATTCAGTATTCTATACATTTTATTCAATATTTTGTAAAAAATTTACTTGATACAAACAACCTTTAGTTTTTGAATACAGCTCGTTCAGAGTTTTCAAAACTTCTCCTGCTATGGATAATTTCTCTTGTATCGTGACCTAAAATAACAAAACATTTGGTTAGTAAAACAAAATGGTGGAGCATTGAGGGGACAGGTGATGCATGGCTCCATTGTGGTGATAACGGTTGTGTCTGTTACAGTAGAACAGATAGCTAATTTTAAATAGTACCCTTAATAGTAGTTTAATATATATCATAGTTAAGGTCAAAGGGTTATTAAAGTACCTCTGTTCATTTGTTCTAACCATGTGATTATCAGTTCGATTATAATCAAGATTTAAAATGAGTTTTTTGCAGTTTTCATATACGGTAATATCCTAAATGCAGTAGATATAGGAAAGTCTTACTAAAGAAATCAAATATTGTGGACTATATAGACACTGGACATAAATGATAAGAAGAAATCTTGTATATTGGATAATTATATTAAAAATATTTCTTCTGATCATTTACATCCAGTGTCTACATTTCTCGACGGTCCAGTGTCTTATCTGTAAATGTAGCCCAAAAAAGATGGTCCATGTTCGGTCATGTGCTATGAATGCCAACAGACACACCTCAGAGGGCATTAGATTTTGCAGTTGTAGGAACTAACAAGTACAAAGTTCATAAAGGACAACACTGCACAAACTTGGTAGGTGTGTTATGGTCTGATGCAGGAATGGCAACATTGAGGTCTACAAAGAAACTGTAGGAGCTTAGGATGCTCACTGAAAGCAAGACACAGTGGATTCAAATTCAAGACTGATAGCAATTGCAAGATGTTTCGACTACTGCAACAGCAGAACACAGTACATTACATACAATTGTGTCTATATCAATATCTTCTGTACTATCATCAAAATAAGTACTGTATTTACTGATAAAAGATTTAAGCTTACATAATACAGATCTTTCTCGGAGTCGGACTTGTAAACAAGGCCTCTTTGTTCCAGATGATGAACAACTTCTTTGAACATAGTATAGCTGGTGATGGTGGATGACTTCTTGGAATTAGACAACTCTTTTACAGCAAGGTTGGATGAGCCAAAAGAAACAGAGGAATCCACAGCAGAATTGGCCATAGTTGGTGAATTCTTGGTTGTAGAAGAACCCATGGCATGGCTGGAAGAGCTAGATGATGTAGAGGGATCTATAGCAGGGGTGGCAGAAGTGGGTTTAGAAGAACTCATGACATGGGTAGAAGTAGCCGACACTTTCTTGGATGTAGATGATCCAGAAGATGTAGGCTTGGCAGAAGTGGATGGTTCATGAGACTGAGAGAGAACACCCCAAAAAATAATCCACATTATTAATCATGCTATCTATGTATGTAATTAACAGACTATATTATATCTTCAAATTCATCCATTAGACTATACGATTATAATTTTCAGTTTAAACGATTGAAAATTCTTGTCTTACCGTATTGATACATAAGCCCTTGATAATATCCATCAAATGATCTACAGTTTGTAACTCAGCAATATAAAAACTATTGGTTTCACTCCTCCTAAGAAATTGTTCAACTGCTTCAATGAGACTTCCAGGTACTAAAGGCTACAAAGATAAACAGGATATTATAAATACAGTGTTAAAATTCTGGGGAAAAAAATGAATTGTCATCACGTTATGACTAAAATCCAGGCACACAATGCATCTCCATTCTGTTAGAATTTGATGATACAAGGCCATCAGATGGTTGTTGGTGGAAATCTGAGCATTTGTCTTCGAAAATAAACTGTTATGGTCCTTGTCATGTTGCTGTCACCATGAAATCATGGTTGATGTAGTGTATGCTTGGCTTTAGTTTGGTACCTACTTCTGATTTCTTAGCAATCTCTTCTTTCTCCACAATGAACTGTTGATCATACACATCTCGGTACAACTTCGGAAGCTCCATCATCCTTGCTATTTCTCTTTCGCATCTAGGATCATCCACTTTTTCTGAAGAAAATAAAAAGGAAATACTGTAAACATCTTTCATCAATCACCTGATTCTAGAATGTGATTGACTGTGTGGCATCAAATGCGGAGTTATACACACCCAAAGGTTCACTCCTCATGACAAGAATATATTATAGCATTATACTTGAAAGGACATCTAAAAGCAAGTCTGATATTTTCTGCATCTGAAAAAATTATGGAAATTAAATTTCGAGATGAAAAAAGACAGTAAAAAATAAAGTGTGAAAGGAAATGGTCCCACCCCTTGGATATTGTTGCAACGTGTGTGTATTCCAGGACCTGTTCTGATTGGTCAGTTGTTATAGTTTGATTGACACTCTGGAAAGATCCATTAACAAATACAAGATTATTATCATACCAAAGAAGGAAGCAGACACTTGGATGTCTCCTCTGTATGTTTTAACCCTCCCTCTGACATGAATGGACTCTCCAAATTCTATTGGTGTCATCTGTTCCACTAGGTTGTCAGAGATCTTCAACCTCAGAAAATCCTTTATTGACAAACTGTTGACATCAGCTAAAAAATTTTTTTATTAACTTAATATGTAATTCAATAATCAATCAATAAAATCATTAAATAATAATTCATGATAAAAATAAATAACAAAATCAAATTCTCCATAAGTATATTTAATTTATAGAGTAATATTAATTATATACCATTTGTGATACGCTACAAAAGTTAAAGTCAATATGATAAAATATTTTCCTCACCAATATTCTTTTGCATAAATTACTAAATTTGCATAATTAATTAAGAATTTTTTAGTAAAAGGTCTGTAAATCTAATCAGTTAACACTTAATTAATCGGTGTTTCATTACAAATTAATAACTTTAAATTAGTTATTCATTGTTTTAATTGAATTTGTGAGGTTTCCCAATACGACAGATGTATAATCCTCCTACCTTTTGGGGAGAATGGCTGTGGCTCTTGACTCGGCTTCCAACAGCAGCAATTTATCACGCCTGTCCCATCATCAACTGTTGAAAAGTGAAAACAAATATACAATAGTATTTCACTATTCACATCTAACCAGGACTGACTGCCTTTTCTTACAAGTATGGAAATAAACCATTATGCTCTACAAGGTTGTCCTGTGACTTACCCAAATATGGGTGTGATATGACATCTTCATGCCAATATATGGGTGTGATGTGACATCATCACGCCCGTACGTGGGTGTGATATGACATCATCATGCCCATATATGTGTGTGATATGACATCATCTGATGACATTTAGTCTATGAAGATTGGGAATACAGTTTATTTTTATTCTAAGGATTTCTAAAATATTTCACATACACAATTATACATTTATGCTTGCTTAATATTAAATTAAAATAATTTATACTGTATCTTACAAATTCATGCTGTTTAATGAGAACATACAATATGCGACCCAAAAAAAGGTAAAACATGACAAGTGCAGGAAAAAGGAAAATTATGAGAAAATAGATTGATATGATTGACATTACATTAAAAAGCTGAATATAGTAAGAAGCTAGAAAAACACGAGGTGGAAGTTTATTCCAAAGAACAGCACTTCTGGGAATGAAAAAGTGGGAATGAGATAAAGTAGGGAAAGTGGGTGTAGAAACGAAGTGTTTGTGAACTCATGCAGAAGCTTGAGCTGATCTACAGTAGAAGAGACGTGGAGGGGACAGACAATAGAGCAAAGCTTAAAAGAACAGTGACCAAAAAAGTATTTAGAGAACAGAGATAGAGCTGAAAATTGACGGTGATATTCAAAAGACTGTAAGCAGCAGAATAGTGAAGAGTCATAGATAAGACATACAGCTAGGATTTGGATTTTGTACAGACAAGGTAAAACAAAATTAGGAGCTCCTCCACAGATAGGAGAGCAGTATTTTAGTTGGGGGCAAATCTGGTATTTATAAAGAAGTGTGATAGAGGTAGCTTGAGAGTGATGAGAACATTACTAATAATTACCTCCATAAAGAAAGAACTTCTGCTTTTCAATGACTTTTACAACTATTCCATAGATGTCCACTTTGCATATAGGATGTCCATTGTAGTGCAGTGTTTCTGTCAACAAGTAAACAAGAGATTTAAATGCAAGCCAGGCCTTCTGTAGGCCAATGTAGGAAGCATATTATCTTTGCTACTTACAGTAGTACTATCTATTCTGGCTTAAAGATAAATGATAGTTATCGCTAAAGTATTTAACTTATAAAAACAACATTAATAATGTAGGTCTAGCAGCCAAATACTAAAGGATAATTAAAAAAATATTTTTTGATGCTAAAAGCAAATTTATTTCTAAATGTGCAGTATTTTGGCTTCGCAGATGTTAACATAAACATAAAAATTTCATTATTTGAGGGGGGCTAAAATATTATTCATTAGCCATGAATATTAATTCAAATAGTGATTTAGACTGTACGGGTCCCAAGTGTCCAAGTCGTCAAAGTGTCCTGGAGTACATGACAGCCTCCCAGACGTCCTTGCGCGAGAACCCAAATTGAAATCTTCTTGAAACTAATCAACTCCTCAAAATTCATTATCCATTGAGTCCAGGGGCGGATCCAGAGATGTCCAAAAGGGGGGCCGAAATTTGGGCCGATCGAGACAACAATGTCCTACGGGGTCCGGGGGCATGCCCCGCGAAATTTGTGTGTTCTAGACGCCCGAAAATAACATTTGAAGCGTTCTGGGCTATCATTTTTTTCTTTTTCTTTCTTTTTTCTTTTTTTTACTTCCCAAAAGGGGGCCCCCCCCCCTAAATCTGCCCCTGGAGTCCTGGAAGCCAGCTGGTGATGAAGGGTATCACGATGCGCAGCAAAATAAAAACAGATATAGGGATGTTTCTTGTGACATTCGTTACGGTTAACATGACTCAAAAAAAGTTTACAGTAAGTAAGGCATCAATCATCAACCTTGGCAAATGATTGAATGACAGTCACACAAGAAAGTAAATTGTAATGTCTAATAACGTACAATTTTATCTTTATGGAAACTTGTTTATAAGTGATGAATGGAAATGATAAATTAATAAACGCTGTGGTTTGATCCGATGCTGGATCAGTAACCACCCACGGCGTTAAATAATGAATGAATAAATATTCCAATGGTCTAGGACTGGTAATGATATATACAAAAGTAATAAATTAATACTACCACCTCTACTACTAGGCCTGCCCTACTTCTCGTAAGTAGACAAGTGGCCTAGCCCTAGCTAGGCTAGGCTTAGCACCTGAAACCAATCAATCAGCAAAGGTAAAAAAGGCACCAGGTAGGCCCTAACCTAGGCTAGGACAGGCCTAGCCTTGCTTACTGAATTCAGAACTGAGATCGAAAGAGAGGGCTAGGGCCTAGGCTAGCCTGATAAAATATATGAATTACCTATGCCCTCTAGTGCTAGCACATCCTTGATGTATAGCTTAGCGAATGCTTTACTGATGGGATTTTGACCTTCAACATTCATTTTATACAGTATTCAATTCTTACTTTCATAAATGTTTTGAACCTAAGCGCGCTGACATGATGTGGAGCATGTTCATGCTTGAGGGCGGTATTCAGGTGCTAGAAACTGGCTAGCAGATGTGATTGAATGAGGCGGTGAGGATTCTTTGTTTTTGTTGCAGAAATAATTTCACTTTATAGTTGATATATACTGCCTCTAAGTATTCAGTTATGGTAAGGGTGGATTATAGAATGAGGATATTATTATTATGGTAAAACAAATTGTATTCCTTCCTCCATTTTCTTAGAAAATCAACGGCCAGGCTAGGCCTAGTCAGTGGGTGAGAGAGCAGAGTGGCGATGACTGACGATGTTGAGTGGTGTTGTTGGCTTGATGATCTTGATTGAATGCAGTGTAGGCCTAGGCCCTAGTAGTAGTAGTACAGTAATGAGATTGATAAATGCTGTAAAAAAAGGTGGAGGGGGATATTTCGGGGATTTTTTTTTTCTGAAATTTCCATTTTTCCTGGCAGAGGCTTAGGACAACTGAGCAAAAGTAAAATGTTATTTTATTCGAAATTACCATATATTATCAGTCCTAAATTGTTAATTATATGGACATTAAAAAAAATAGAATATCCAACTTTACTACAGACTTAAAAGTCTTCAACCTCCATTAATAATATCTGCTGCCTCTGTCATCAATATGATTATACTTTACAAAATGTGGCAATCCCTAAATAGTACATGTAATTGAAACGTTTTATTATAATGCTTGACACATTATCACACTGAACAACCCCATTCGGGCTGCCTCTGGTTCCCAATTTTCTAGTGAAGTAGATTATCTAATTGTCTATGATATGAGGTAACAATTGACATTTTTTTGTTTTTTTTTATAGGTTGTCTTTGGTTTGACCTAGCCCAGTGATCACTGAAAGTTGACCTGTGACTTGACTCAGGGCCTGAACAGTGAAGAAAAATAAACCACTACAACCAAATGGGAGTTTGAACTGAAGTAAAAAGGGTTGCATGGTCTCATAACTTAATTCGAATGTACTGTAGAATGTTTCTCTTTTTGTTTTGCAGGTTTTTATAACCATTACCTAAACTGTATAGATCTTTCCAGTGATATAGATAAGGTTTGTTTTCTAAAGCTTTATCATTATTAATGCAAAGAGTTGTACAGTTTTAACAAACAAATGTTTGCATTCTAAGATTTTGAAAATATACATATTTTTGGATGGAATTAAAGTTCTGTTGTGGGGTATGGATGAGATAAGTGAAAATTCTGGACACCAACTTGCAATGGATGTTACACCTCCACCGCCACCATTGGAAAACCTTGTAATGCCCCCACTACCACCACCACTACCTAGTGCTTCAAACTTGGGTAGTGACTGTGGTAGTGAGGAATCTGTTATACCAACTCTAACCGTGAGCATTTCAAAGAACGTTGACCGTCGAAATGTAACATTCCTTCAATCCGAGTCTTCCCCTGAGCCTGAGAAAAAACGACAAAAACTAAGCAACACCGATAATGAAATTAAAGTCACTCTGCAACGTTCTGAGAAAGGGGCAATGCGGAGAACTCAGGTCACAGTTGATGGAGATGCCGAAAATGAGGAGTCATTGCTTGGGAATGATGAAACAAACAGACAACTTCCGGAAATGCCTGATGATATGGTAATACTGGAGGATGATGACGATGATGATGACGAAGAGGATGATGCTGACAGTTGGGCGAGTGGTATAGACGTTGATGCGATGCTAGAAGCAGACTACAATGAGCGTATCAAGAAAGAGCAGACGGCTACGGAACCTTCCCTGGAGAATCCTGATGGAATCGTGGCAATAAGACATAAAATAGTACTTAAAGGTAATTGATTTCAGTTAAATAATTACAAAATACTTATCTTTTTTTTACTTTAGATTCATAATATAAAATGATTGAAATTTCATCAGTTCATATGATAGTGGTACAGAGACTTACGTATTTATTCATTTTTTTTAGAAAAAGGTCACGAACCTATTGAAGGACTTCCCGATGATTGGGTTCAAATTGCACATGACTCTGGGATGCACCTCTACTTGCATAGGACAACCAGAGTATGCGTCTGGTCCCGGCCATATCTGCTTGGCAATGGCAGTGCTAGAGTGAGTAACCACTGTTTATTTTATCAGATTACACATTATTGTTTGCAATGGCGGCTCTAGGATATCATTTATGCTGGTGCTAAGATGTCCAACTGGGGGGGCGGGGGCCTAAAAGTATATGGGTGTTATTATAGCACGCAGCGTTATCTGAGGGGGATGGGGGTCTTGACCAGACCGATGGGAGAGGGGGCTCAAGCCCACCTTACCCCGCTGGCGCCGCCACTGGGTGTATGTAGTGCACTGGGGGTGGGGGGTTGTTACGCAGTAAGTAATTTCCAATTGAAAATGTGCAAAGCAAAAAATCACTTATTTTGCACCCCCATAACTAAGCATGAAGCACCTTCACTTTCGTCCCCTCCCCTCCCTTCAATAGTATTCATACTCTTTTTAGAGTATTTAAGAAATTGTGGAATTTGTTGGTAACTGACCATTTTTCCCTGATTCAATAGATTCTTAATTTCGATTTTTTAATTTTCTTTGCAGAGACACAAAGTTCCGGTCACCAGTATTCCATGTCTTCATTATAAACGAGAGCTGAAACGGGAAAGTGGAGAGCTAGTGAGCAATAGCATGGATGCCTCTGATAAACTAATTCCAGAACGGAGTACTTTTCATGAAGAGAGAGCTCATACTAAGGAAAATGCTTGCCCTGAAAGCAAAGGTCATACTAAGGGGAATACTTGCCCTGTGGAGAATGCTTGTCCTGTGGAGAATGCTTGTCCTGTGGGGAAAGCTCTTCCAGAGGGGAAAGCTCTTCCTGAGGTAAATGCCCTTCCTGAATTTGTTCCTGACCAGAAAAAGGAATCAACTGAACAGCAAGTTAAGGAATCTAAGGAGAATAAGTCAGGTTTGATAAATAGAATATTCCATATCATTTTATAATTTAAATGTCTTTCATAAATATATTATTAATTGAAAACATTGAATTCTTCAAATTATGGAATTAGATTACAGTATGCAAGAATATTTTGAAAATGTGCACAGAAAAGATTGGACCCTGCTAACAATGATATTTTATATTATTATTCTCAATATCAGTATTTTTATTACAAATCTTGGAGTGAGGGCATGTGGCAGTTTAACAAATGAATATATATAACTGTTCATAAATATACCATCTGCGTTTGAAGAAACTTTTTGCTATCAATATTTTGTTTAATTGTATGTTCACATGAATGTTTGCAGGAGAGAATGGGCCGGACATTAATAATGGTGAGACCAAGCCTGCTGCTATTCCTGACAAGATACATGTGTGCAAGGATGAATCAGTTGGTATGCTTTAATGATGACAATATGTTATTACACTTACATAGCGCTTCATGCCAACAAGGCCTCTTTCTAAGCGCTTCACATTATTACCCCCGGTCATTGGATCAAGCACATATGGAACACATACCCTGCTTCACAAGGAGAATTCCATAATGTTGCAGCTGTAAACAGTGCATTTTGTGTTTGAACCTACCAGGTACCCACTTGTACTCTACGGTGGAGAGAGACCAAGTGCTTTGCCCAAGCACACAAGAGAAATGCACAGCAAGGGATTGAACCTCTGACCTCAAGGGTAAAAAACAGAACTCCAACCGCTGTTCCAAACCATCCTACTATAACTAAATGCTTAATTCAAGCATTTGTTTTTATTACTAATATTATTTTGTTTAATATTTGAATTATTAGAATAATTACATATCAGTAATATTATAAAAAATAAATTACCATTTAGTTGCTGTTTTGTAATATTTTTCATGTTTAAATCTTATATCTGAGATTGTATTGTGTTTGATGAGATACACTAAGGAATCGAAATTGTTCATAATCATTCCTGTTTATTAAATATTCTTTTTTTTTCTACAGATGCTGTTGAGCTGCATAATTATCTGATTAAACTGTTTGAATTTGAAACATTAACTGTTAAGAAATTCAAGTAAGTGAACATTTATTTATTTGTTTTTTAACGCCAACATTACTAATTACCAACTTTAAATTTGAGCACTCGCCGCGTTGTACGACAGTCATACAACAGTCACATGACGAATCTAACTCCACTGTCTGTGAGTGCTGGACGACGCGACGCCGTCTGTTGATTGTCGGTGGTCGTTAAAAACGATTCGTTGCCTTCTTAGAATCGCATAAGCCGACGACTGTCGGGCTTAGCGAGTGCCTGGCTTAACATTTATAAAACTAAAAATAAAAAATTACAAAATTTAAGATTGGTAACAAATATGCAAACATTACGAACTTAAATAACCAGTTTTTCACATATCAGTTAAACTTGCCTAAGTCGAATAATTTCTAAGTCGATCATATTTTGCATGCCAAATTGTTGTGTTTTCCATTAATTAACAATCTGTAAGTCGAATTTCATTTAAGTTGAACAACATTTCAGTGGCATTTTTGGATTCGACTTAGGCAAGTTCAACTGTACAATAAACAATTACAATTATCGTGCATTATTCATTATTATTACGTTGTTTTAATAGAACCTACGCTGATAAAAGAAGGCACAATAAGCAGTTAAAGGAAAGCCTAGATCGACCGCAACTTGTAAGTTTAATTAATCTATTTTAATCTATTGTTTCTTGATAATAATAAATGTAACCTTCTTATATATATATATGTTACTTATTTTACAGCCTGGAACATCTAGTCTAATAACGTGTCAAATCCCAGGTTCCGAGAAATCAGGAAAGGGCAAAAAAGGTCAGTATTTGAGAAGTAAAATCAAGTACACTTCATTGTCTATCAGACAATATTTATCAGACTTTTTCTGATTGTTTTTGTCTCTTTCCCCTCAAAGATTTTGTGATAAATTCCAAGGACAAGACGCCAGTTTGCATCTTACATGAGTACGCTCAGCGGGTGATGAAGATGCAGCCTAAGTACATATACAAAGAATGTGGTAAGTCTCGATATTGTTAACTACACAGTGTAAATAAACTATTGTTAAGTAGCTTTGGTAATGCACAGTAAATGGTGTAAAGTTAAAGCTAAATGTAGTAGAATAACCAATTATTGTAATGTTCACAAAATTTCACAACATTTGTAGAAAACATTATTACAGAAAGTATTCACTAGAAGTTTGTTCTCTGATTTTCCTCTGCGTAGCACAATATATATACCAAATTGTTATACATTAGTAATAATGATATAATAATGGAAATATATTTTGTAATTTTTAAAGGAGATAAAAATCTTGGTATCTGTTGGGATTTAAAACCATTTTTTGGAACACATTATAAACCATGCAATATTTTTGAGTGCATATTTAATTCACTTTTCAGAAAACATGAGTACACCATTTGAAGCTATAGCAGAGATTGATGGCACACAGTATGGCAAAGGAGCAGCAATTAGTAAGAAACAAGCCAAAAATGAAGCAGGTAAGAAGACTAGCTCTAAGACATTTAAAATGTGGTGTCTGTTGGTCATTTAGATGGTTTATCAGTCGTGTTTGATGACCAAGATATTAGATATACAGTATATACACCAAATTTAATGAAGAATTGCACAAGTTTACCAGTAGAGTTTGCACTTCTGTAATTTTAGCTCGGGCCACACTTGAGATTTTGATTCCGAATTTGTGTCTTGGAGAAAAAAAGGCCAACGAAACAGATGATTTAGAGGTAAGATCATGAGAAGTAAAGTTGTAACCTATTATTTGTTGGGGAGGGGTAAAACAATTTGTGAGTATACTGCATTTGCGCAGATATACTGTGTGCTGTGGAAGTGAAATTCCTGTGTAAGATTGGAATGTGTTAGAAATTCCTCTGTTGTTAAATGGCAGGTTTAGTTCAGTCATTTAACATGCCAAGTACAGTGTGTTAACAGATGACCAATAGCTAATAGCACCTTCTCTGATAAGAGTAATTTTGACCTAGTTTCTGCTATATACGCATCCTCATCAGGAGCCTATTTTTTTTTGCTTCTGACTGACATTTTAATTTTCCCTCTTGAAATAATGTAAAACACTTTGCTATATTTGTTTCCTTTAGTATTTTAATAATATTCTGATTGAAGACACAAGGGTGTATGAGCTTTGTACTAAAGCTGGCCAGTTGACCCCTTGGATGATGCTTCAGGAGTATAAACAAAGGTGAGATGAGTTGCCATGTTGATGTGACATGACCTAACATGTCATGACCTTTCCTGTAATGTGGCTGATAGTATAACTGATTGTTATACCATGATATGACTATATGTGACCGTGTCATAGTCATTATGTTAGCTCCAATGCAATGATCCAATGTGACATGTAATAAAATGATATGACATGCCGACCTAAGTTGACCTGTCATAACAGTCTGCTATAACCTGTTTCATTGACTTGATGACATACTAGGTCATGACTGCTTGAAAAATATCAATTATAATGTTGAGAGTAAAATTATCAGCTATTCATTCAACATCACACATCCCCTCTGTTCTCATTTCCTGTAGGCATCATGGTCTGGAAGATATGGATTTGGATTTTTCTGTACAAGTTAGTAAACATCAACGAAGTACATACACCTTGACCTTTGGCCAACATGTTGTCACTGTAAGTAATCTACTAACTTGACAATAGTTGTTTGTTTTCTGATTGGTTGAGTATTCCCTAATAATTTCTGATATATGTATTGTTGTCTTTACAGGGCCAATGTAAGAATAAAAAGGTTGGCAAACAGCATGGTGCTCAGAAGATTCTGAAGCTACTACATCCTCATCTCAAGTACTGGGGCTCCCTCATTAAAATTTATAAAAAGGGAGCTTCGATTAGAAACAAAGAGAAAAAGGTATCGCTATTCATCGCACGATTGTTCTTGTATTTATTGTTTTAATAATGTATATAG